TTTTTTTTTATAACCCCATCTATAACTATATTAAACACGGTGGCATCACAACTGTTTAAGGTCTACTTTTACTGAGAAATAATCTCTCTCCTGTAAACTTAATTCTTAACGTGAATATCTGCTTGAAGACTACTTTCAGTAGCCTACTACTTATCCCATGCATCGACAGCATCTCCCACATTACTTTCCTCTTCACCCTATCATGTACATTTTCAGAGTCTACAAATACGACAAACAGCTCCTAACTTTGTTTAATTATTACTATTTTTCTGTTTTTTATTACTATTCAACGGGAATGGAAAAAACACTAAGGTTAGATTCGAGGTAGGACAGTGTGGCCCAAATTCCATGGCTCAAGATCCCTTCTGCAGCATCAAGGAACCTACCTACCCACCCTTAAACTTTTCAGTCTGGATAGCACTCTTAAGAACTGACTTCATCTCTGACTCACGTGTTGTCAAAATTCTCACTATGCTATAACTAGTGGGGTAATTTGTAAATTGAGTGTAGTCGTCAAGCAGGCAGCACCGAGTGCTATCCAGACTACCTGGATCCACTCATCCTGCGCTATATATCATAAAAAAATCCCCATTAAGTGCTTGGTATTTGTAGTAGTATAAGGAATAATTAACTGGAATAATTATATTTATGTTATATGGGAATTTCTTAAATAAAATATTTTTAAATGAACACTTTGAATCCGTTGTTAAATTTTGATACTTAATGAAAAATAAAAAATGATTGGAAAGACACAATCAAATAATAATATTATTTCATTACTGTTCAATACTGTACCTTCATACACAAACTATAAAAATTTAAGCCGGTTTTACCAAACTAGTGAATAATAACTCTGGGATATATATGCCTTCAAAACACGATGAAAGAGGTTCAAAACCCATCAACTCCACCAGGGTCATTAAGGCGGCACAATAAGCTTTTCACCACCAGACAAGAATTCTCTAACCCCTTAAAAAGGGATTAAGCTCTCATCCTATATACGCTGAAAGAAATATACCTCTCAAGGTATATATCCTGTCATTTACACACAAAGGCGACTTGTTGAGAGAAATACACCCCTCAAGGTATATATCTAATGATTTACACACACACAAACACGACTTGCTGAGAGAAATACACCTCTCAAGGTATATATCCTGGAATTTACACACTGAAAGGCAACTTATTTTGGTGATCTTACCTAAAATAAGTGAACCCTTTAGGCAAATGTAAATAAAGTGGGGGTTATGCTATGCTTATCGGGACCATTAATTATAATTTATTTTTATTTTAGTATTTTTTAACACCCCGGCCTTCTCCCATCAAGGTAGGGTGACTCGACATAAAAGAAAACTCTCACTGACACTCAATGACTGTCTTGTCAGAACGCCGACATCACACTTCAGATGTCGCCTCAAACCTCAACATCCCCAATCTTTCTTCAGAGTTCAGTCACTGTACATCACTCCTTTCATCCCATCCTTGTTTTAATCCACATAATTCTTGAATTTATATCCGTATATTTCCCTGTGGATCATTTAATTTTACCGTCCCTCCTTCCTTAGCCCTAATTCTCTCAGATACACTTGATCTAATCCCATTTAACTTAACGCGACGGTCTGGAGTTTTGAGACTTTCTGATTGCGGGTTCTATCCCCGCCCGTGGTATAGTTTTTTTTTTTTTTTAATCCCATTTACACATCCCACCGAAATTCTTCTACCCCCCTTTAACTTTGCTTCGCTTAGAACTAGGATATCCAGCTTCTTTTCATTCATAACATTCACAGTCAATTGTTTTTTTACATCCGTATTACACCTATGCATTCAAACCACCTTAAAAAATTCTCCTTTGTCCTTTAATAATTTGTACAGGAGAAGGGGCTACCAGCCCTTTGCAACCACCATTTTAGTCGTCTTTTATAACGGGCACGACTTATGGAGGAAGAATTCTCGCCCACTTCCCTGTGGAAATTTAACACGATGAGAACAAGAACTATTAAGAGATAAGATGAAAAAAATGCGTGTGTGTAAATATACATGTACAGTTGTGGAAAAAAGTTTCTGGACACTCTCTCCTGGGCAGAAATAATATCTGGCAACTCAGACGTAGTAAACAGAGAAGTAAAGACTTTTCACGAATGAATTAGCACGTCAGTGTATATGATGAACAGTGAAAATTAATTTTAATTATATAAGGAATGATGATCTTAATATTACATAACATTACATAACTTATTCAAATTCATCATTTCTTAATCATATATTTGTCTAACCAATCTTTAATGCTTTCCAAGGAAACGAAATCAGGACCCCCCCTAATTACTTTTTCTAGAAGGCTGACATAGGTTATTGTTCTGTACTAGTGAATCGGCATCTTAAAGTACAGGTGACAGGCCATAAACTAAATGAAACTGAAAACTCGTCTATTGTGTCAACCTGCTATACAACAATCAATCATGAGGGATTAAATGTCAAATTTTGTAATGTTTGTAACAGTATGACATACCTGATGGAGAGCGAAACGTTGCCAAAAAAAATGTCAAATTAGTTGCATCTATGTACGTTGACTTAACATTAAAATTATATTTCACCTGATTGGACATAACTTACAATATATTCGGTCACCTTTCCAAATAATTTTTATGGTTTTATAATCTTAAATATATCTGCATTCATACATCAACTTTCAGATACACAAAACGTACCGGTAAATTAATTGTGTCAACCAGTCACCATCGTCGTTATAAAGTATACTGATTCATTGATAAAAACAGTCGTTACTACTCTGTTTACTACGTCTGAGCTGCCAGATTTTATTTCTGTCCAAGAATTATTTTCCCAGCTGTACATATACAATTGCATGTGTAGTATAAACTAGATGTACGTAGAAGTAGCATATATATTTTGTATTATTATTATTATAGAATATTTTTTGTCATAAGAAATCTCATATTTTTTTCTATAAACATTTCGATCAAATCAAATATTGAAAGATGCTCCCAGGATATATACACGGGGAGGTGTATATCTCAGCGTATATATGCTGAGAGTTGATTTTAATCCTTATTTTAGGGTTTAAATTATTGTTTGGAGGTGAAAAAGGTGTCTTAATATTAAGATCCTAGTGTAGTCGATAGGCTTTAAACCCCATTAACCAACCTTAACTAAGACACTAACTAACATTAATCATCAAAACATAATTAAAATTGTATGTTCTTTTATAAATCAAGATTTTTACTCCTGAAATATATACTCTTTAACTTAAAGTTGTAATCAAATATTGTTTATATTGTAGATATTGTGAATTATTCTTATTATGTCAGCAAATTACCTGCAGGAGGCATACAAGGCATTACCTGAATCATTACCTGCAAGTAATTTGGGTGAGGTAAGCGGGACTTAAGTCACAGCAAGTCGCTGAACTGTCGCTCCCTCGATGCCCACTCCCTATCACTCTCACAAAAAGCTAGACCTGACATTAAATTAATAATTATAATATCAAACATTAATACTAATAAGGGTAAATTATAAAATAATGTGGACTGTATATGACTAGGCTTGCTTGGTACACAAAAGAAAATGGTATTAATTACTGAAAGACACTTAATACTGATGGAACACACCCTAACACTACCCTAGCAGATTGGATTTACGATGGCCAACGCAAGAAACTACTGTACGTTATGGGTAAGCATCACTTAGCTAAGGTGTGTTGTTGAGAAGGATTCATTGAAGTCGTCTATTTTTCCGTCCTTGTTGTAGAATTGTAAGGGTTTTCTACACTATTTATCCCAATTCTTCAGCAGGAACGTGTCAGCAATTTCTAAATTACGGATTGAGGCAGATAAACACCAATTGACCTTCGAGAACGCTTGATTACATTTCAAAATTCAGTCCAGTGTTCACACATTAAATTCAATATGGCGTCTCCTCTGCCGCGTCACTCCGCTGTTCTATCCCCCCCTACTCGAAATTTCTCGAAAGGGTCAAATCAGCATCATATTTTATTAGACTATTATATTATTCATTTATCTGTTCTGCATTTAGGAAATTTTGTAAAAAATTTCCAAAGTAGGATTCTACATTCTTTAGAAATACTAATACTAATTCCTAATGATTATAGTCATAACCACGAGTTTTAAAGAGGTGGACCGGTAAGCCAGTGGAAGTCCTCGGTCAGATGATCAAAAGCTCCAGCTGTAGGTCAACATGTGACTAAGACCCGCGTCAGGAAACACTTGTCCTGTTTCCTGACATATTATACCTACCCATCCAATTCTTTGAGGGAAAGAAGATTTATGAAGGTAATCATAATTCGGTCGAGATACAATCTTGGACAGTCCCGGAATCATCGTACTCGCTCGTGTGTTTATAATGTCTTTTAATGGAGAGAACGAGAAAATAATGAAATTCTTGTTCAAAACTCCGCTCGTTGAAAAATGAATAATATTATTTAATTTTCCGCTGGTATGAGGGGTAAGGAGAAATTCATTCGTTTGATTTTCAGCATTATTCTTCCTTATAAACCTTCACAACCCTACTTAGGGCCACTGTGACCCTGATTATAGGTCTAAACCCAAGGTTCGGAACTACTGCTGGAATTTAGACCCTATAGTTTTGTTATATATGTATTCACATTCCCTGGGTGATTACATAAACAGTATGATGTTTTATAACTGTCCTGTACGTAGATTATATTTTAAAATGCCGTCGAATATTACTGCTAAAACATTTAGTTTTTTCTTGACCTTTCCTGTGTAACACCTACGTGTCAGTTGACAGATACAATGCCAACGTTTTTCTTCTAATCCATACCATGATGCTAACCCCATACTGCTTTCTAATTCACTTCTATTACTGTCACTACTCCTTAGAGTGAACTCTCAGGCCCTCTCTCTGGCATACTCTGACTATATTCTCATTTCTCCTGGCCTTCATAAGAAAAATCCCTTGGTTTAAGAAAAGCTGTCCCCAACACACACTCCGAATCCCTCCTGTAGGCGTGCATTGCTACGACATGCCTGACGGATACCGCTGCGGCCGGTGTCCCGCCGGACAGACCGGTGACGGACGCACCTGCAGCCACATCAACGCTTGTGATCCCAACCCTTGCTTCCCTGGTGTCCAGTGCTCCAACACCAACACTGATCCCTACTTCCGCTGCGGCCCTTGTCCTGCAGGACTCACCGGCAATGGCTCCATCTGTGAAGACATCAATGAGGTGAGAATTTTAGCACCAGCTAAATATTATTATTATTATTATTATTATTATTATTATTATTATTATAAGTTCACTTGCTTTCTACAACTTCATGTTAACTTCTTGATCACTATCAATCTCGCTCTCAAACTACAGCAGCATACACTGATACTTCTAAATCCTCCGATGGTGTCGGTTATGTCTTTTCTGAATGAATCATCAGAGATCATTTATTAGAGTCGGCTAGTATTTTCACAGCGGATTTATATGCAGTTCTCACAGTTATCATTCACAATGCGACTATATCCGTCTCGTAATTTGTAGTTGTTTTGGACTTCTAAGGTGAGTTACGGTCTCTCCAGAAATTCGAATTCCCTCGTCCCATCGTTTTTCATTTACGGCTTTGGCTATGTCGTATTTTTATTAAGCACAAAGAAGTCGTATCTTGCTGGCTCCCTGGACATGCCGATATTCAGGGCAATGATAATACAGACTCAGCTGCTCGGTAAACATTTCTAGACCTCCAGATATCACATAGGGTATTCCATACTTGGACTGTTTTTAAGTACTCTCACCACTGCAACCGCTGGCAACAACGTTGGTCCACACTGGACCACAACAAATTTTCTGTCAAACCTCGTTTACATTTCTGGCTATCTTCCCACAGTTGTTGGGCTTGGGACCACACTCTCTTGCTTATTATGTACTGGACACATGTGACTCATGGATATCACATGGAGGGAGAACCGACACCAGTCTGTGAGGAGTGTTATTTCACATTGTTCAACATATCTTAATAGATTGTCCGGCCAATCAAAGTGCACACAGGATCCTCTTCTGACATCTAAACCATCCTAACATGCTCTCATTGATCTCTTGGATGTAGATTCTCTCTTTGACATTTTACGTAACTTAAACTAACCTATTACACCAACTTGGATTTCAAAATCCAGCACCAGCGAAGTAAAAAGCTCAGTTCCCCAAGGCACTGTCCTGGTATCTCTGCTGTTTCTTATCCTCAGAGCAGATACGGATGAAAACATCCATCACAATTTTGTATCTCATTTGAAGATGACACTAAAATAAGTATGAAAGTCACTTCGTAGAAGACACTGAAAAACTGCATATATAAGCAAGCTTTTCCAGTGGACAGTGGAGAACATGACGTTCAGTGGCGATAAGTTCCAGCTGCTTAGGTATGGAAAGAATGAATAACTCAAAAGGACACTGATACAAAATACAAGAGAATCGTCAAAAAGAAAAAAAGGAGATGATTTGGGGAAAATAATTATGTCAGCGACCTTTTTTTCAAAAATAAATAAGGAACAACTACAGCCAAGAGGAGGGGGGGTTTGAAATAACAAGATCAAACAAGGGTTAATGCCAATGGTGAAAATTGTACTCTCTATTCAAAATATTGCTTAGTTTTCAGGGCCCTGGTTCAGGGAAAAAAATTATATCAGAGCTGAAACGTATCGTTCGGGAGGAGATATTTAGAGTGGAACAGTATCGTTCAGGCGGAGTTAAATCAGAGCTGGAACAGTATCGTTCAGGTCGGGGAAAATTATCAGAGGGAAAACAGTATCTTTAGGGCAGGAGTATATCGTGTGGAAAGATCGTTCAGGGGGGGAGAATATCAGACCCGGGAAAACGTACGTTCAGGCAGGAGATATATCGAGCTGGAACAGTATCGTTCAGGGAGGAGATATATCGAGCCGGGAACAGTATCGTTCAGGGCAGGAGATATATCGAGGGGAAACCCTATGTTCGGGGCAGGAGTATATCAGAGCCGGAACAGTATTTTTTAGGGCAGGGATATATCAGAGCTAGAACGTATCGTTCAGGCAGGGATTATCAGACCCGAACAGTATCTTTCAGGGCAGGAGATATTCAATTCAATTCTTTAAAAAGTTTATTCTCAAAAAAAATAAGGTTTACAATGCTGGTTTACAAAAATTTTTGATTATTGTTTTTTTTAATGTAGAAAAATTTGTGATTCGAGTGTACCATTTGAACGCTTAGCATGGCTAGGCATTTGGGTATACTTATTTTTTATTTTAATTGTAAAATATTAAAATTTTATGAGGAAAGTTGGTATTAGGCTAAGTGATAAGTGCTAGTTTGTAATTTTAGCAATGTAAATGCTTTTGTTTGGCACGTCATAGTTTCATATTGGAGTATCACAGGATTCATTTTTTTAAAACTGAGTTTAAATATTTCCGTTTATGGTTAAATGATGAGGAGTGTAAGGTGAACCACCAGGTGGTATTCGGTTTTAAATTAGTTACGGGGGGTACAGGGAGATAAGATTTTTCTTGGTAGTTTTTAAGGTGATGAATGTTTGCAGTTTAGAGTTCTCAGGTAGGGTTTTTCCCCGATTTTAGGGCCTTTGAATAAGGGGAAATTTTTGTAAAGGGTTTTGTCGGACACGGGGGTGTCGTGAGTGTTTGTGTCTGGTGTTATGCTGTGGGTTCTGTCACAACTATCAAGAAAGCGTTTAGGTCAAGGTTTGAATTTTGGTTTTAAAGGGCCCCGTAGATATAGATTGCACATAGAAAAAGTGGATGTATGACTGGGAGGTTTGAAACTATGAAAATGGGGGGGAGGTGTGTTGCCAGGGGGGATTTAGTGATTTTTCTTACGCAGCTTTTTTTTGGGTTAATTTTTGGTTTAGGTGTGTTGCTGCGTTTATCCCCAAGCACAAATAGCATAGGTGAGGTTGGATAAATAAATGGTGGTATAGTGTGAGAAGGGCATTTTGCGGGCCTAGTATGTATCTTGGAGAGGAAACCAAACCCTTTTTGGTATTTTTTGGTATATGTGGGTATGGGTGCTGAAATTCGGTTGTTGTCAAGGTATAAGCCTAGGAATTTTCCCCCATTATTTTGGTAATTAGTGTTGTCAATCTTAATGTTTAAATTTTTGCATTCCCCTCTTACCCAAACATAATATAGTGGGTTTTGTCAGTGTTAAGCGTAAGTTTATTGGCTGTCATCCAAGTCGATATTTTAATCAGCTCCTCATTCACAATGGTGTTGAGGGTGGCAAGATTAGGGTGAGAGATGACATAAGTCGTGTCATCAGCAAAGAGAATGGGTTTCAGGTGTTGGGATACGTTTGGAAGGTCATTGATGTATATGAGGAAGAGCAGGGGACCAAGGACACTTCCCTGCGGAACTCCAGTATCAAGTGGCCGTGTTGCTGATGCTGTGTCTTTAATGGTGACGTACTGATACCTATTAGTAATGTAAGATTTGAAATAAGCAAGTGCATGGCCTCTTATACCGTAGTGATCAAGTTTGTGGAGTAGGATGTCGTGGTCTACTGTGTCAAAAGCTTTTCTTAGGTCAACAAAAAATTCCTAGTGGATATTCCTTATTTTCCAATGCTGTGTAAAGCAGATCTAGCATTTTTATGATTGCATCATTAGTGCTTTTATTTTTCCTAAATCCAAACTGGCAGGGGTTGAGTATGTTTTGAGCCGTTATAAATGAATACAGTCTCCTGTGCACGAGTTTCTCAAAGATTTTGGATAGCAATGGTAAGTTAGATATTGGCCTATAGTTGTTTAAGTCTGTAGGGTCACCACCTTTATGTATTGGTGTAACCCTTGCCATCTTGAGTAGTTTCGGGAAGGTGCTAGTCTCTATTGACTTGTTAAAAAGTAATGAAATAGCATGCGAAAGGACATGGGCCGCTCGCTTGTACAGTAATGGTGGGACATGAGACAGATTCCCCGAGTTATTTTTAAGTGACTTTATGATCTCAATGACTTCCGTGGGCTCAGTTGGTGCAAGATAGAAGGAATTAGGGAAATTTCCATCTAGGTAGTCCCCGGCATGGGCATTGGTATGTGGGATTTTACTGGCGAGATTAGATCCTATGTTTGAGAAGAAGTCGTTTATCTTGTTAGCTGTGTCAGTGGGATGTAGTGGTGTTTCATTAGGTTTAGTTAGGACAATATTCTTGGTTTTTCTCAGTTCAGAGCCTGAACAGTATCGTTTAGGGCAGAAGATATATCAGAGCTGGAACAGTATCGTTCAGGACAGGAGATATACCAGAGATGGAACAGATACAGAGATCGTTGACAGCCTGCATAGAGCCAATAAAGTATTTAAATTACTGGGAACGCCAAAAAGTCTTAGATATGTAGTCACTGGAGTGGAGGAGAGAGAGAGAGAGATACATGATAATATATATCTGGAAAGTACTTGAGGGCCTTGTCCCAAATCTGTGCACTGCCTTAATAACATACTGGAGTGAGTGATATGGGAGGAAGTGCAAAATAAAACCAGTGAACAGAAGGGGTGCAGTGGTCACAATAAGGGAACACTGTATCAACATTCGTGGTCTCAGACTATTCAATATCTTACCATAAGATATAAATGTCGTTTGGACAAGTGCAGAAGTCTTCAAGAGGAAACTGGGCAATTATCTTCAACAGGTGCCAGATCAACCAGGCTGTGATGGATCCGTGGGTCAGCGGGCTACCGATAGCAACAGACTAGTTGACAAGGCAAGCACCAGACTAGCCTGGCCCATGGCCGGGCTCCTGGTGTAGAAAAACCCTCGGAACTCATCAAAGGCACACAGACCTTACCTTACCATTGATATAGCTTTCCTGGCTGTCGTGACCTTTGTCTTATTGTGGTCTTTGATTGAAAGGTCAAGTGACATAATTATTCCCAAGTCTTTCACGTGTTCCTTTCGTTCTATTTGACGATCCTCTTGAGTTTTGTATGCAGTGTTTCTTTCGAGTTTTTTATTCTTTCCATACCTAAGCAGCTGGAACTTATCACCATTGAACGTCATGTTGTTCTTCACTGCCCACTGGAAAACACTCCTTTTATCTCCCTGTAATTTCTCAGTGTCTCTCACTGAAGTGACTTTCATGCTTATTTTAGTGTCATCTGCAAATGATGATACAAAACAATGATGGGTGGTTTTATTTGTCTGCTGTGAGGATAAGAAACAGCAGAGGTGTCAAGACAGTGCCTTGGGGAACTGAGCTTCTTACCTCGCTGGTGCTGGATTTTGCTCTGTTTACTACTGCTTTTTGTGTTCTGTGTGTTAGGAAACCGAAAATCCATCTGCCTACATTCCCTGTAATGCCTATGGCCCTCATTTTGTGTGCAGTAGTGGCATGGGCGCGAAATATAAGACCCGACAGGGATTACATGATGATAATAATAAGATAACGATATTAATTAGAAAGTATTCATTTGTATTACTAAACACTATGTATTCCTTTATAAACACTAAGGATTCCGTGGGAATAAAACACATGCTCGATCAAAACTTTGAAGATGTTTCGGCACTGGTGGCAAAACGTTTCCTTCATGAAATATCTTGATTGTGGGTATGTGTCTTATACCCGCAATCTGTCTGTGTTAACATACCTGGACTTAATGATTTCACACTGTTGCTGCTTCAGTGTACCCTGGCCATGCCTTGTGACCCTCGTGTAAGGTGCATCAACATGTCGCCCGGCTTCAGATGTGACTCCTGTCCTCCCGGATTCACTGGGTCTCCAGGCCTACAGGGTATAGGTCTTCAGTTCGCCCGACAGAACCGTCAGCGATGCTTCGATATCAACGAGTGTGATGATGGCAACAATGGAGGTTGTGTCCAGTACTCCAAGTGTATCAATACTGAGGTTAGTGCAACGCGCGGTACCAAAACGATAGTTTCTTCAAAGTATAAATTCTTTTATGCAATACCTGCATATGTTACCTGTACGCCAGTCAAGGGGGCTTTAATCCCTAAAATTGGAATTAAAGTAAATTCATCATATATATATACACTAGGAAGTATATTCTGATATATATACACTTAGGTATATAACCCTACAGTGACATTTTTTTTATTATTTGGTTTGATGACAACTGTTGTAGAGGTCAGAGCTCAGACCGCAACAACAACAGTTGTCATGAAAGATTTCTTAAGTTATACCATGAATTAAGGAAAGATCCAGGACGTCACCTTACGGAACAAAGCAAATGTGATAGTAATTATGGACAAGGTAGATTATAGTGGAAAAAATGAACATGTTGTTAGAAGACGGTGAATTTACGAGCCTCTTAAGCAATGGCTAAAGTGAAATAAGCTTCCCAGTAAGACTCTAGTGTGTGAGCTTCATGAAGACTCAGATATTTTATAATAATATAATTTACTCATAAGTTGTTTTGCTCATTAACTATAATGACTGGAGTAAATGTGGAAGATGTTTTCAATCTTACGTAAACTGTGTAATGAGTTATTAAGACAGAAAGTGAAATTGCATTAAACGTCAAAATAACGTAAAGTTATTTTCATTCAACTTGACAAATAAGTTTAAGTTCACAGTATTAAATACTAGAGTGTGGTATCTAAACTGAGTTAACTTCATTACTACTCTGGAACATCTAGTTTTACACCATAAATATTCCTACTTGTAAAATTACAAAACTGTACCACTGACTCATCTTACCAGCGCACTATTGTACCAGCATACCACTTTCCACAGGGTTCCTACTACTGTGGTGAATGCATGGCTGGCTTCGTGGGTAACCAGTCACTGGGCTGCCACAATCGCCCCGGCCTGTGTCCAGACGGCAAGCAGTGTGATACTAACGCTGACTGTGTCAAGCCCTTCGGTCTCAACAGCTTTGTGTGTAAGGTGAGTGTACCGTACGTGTGTGTGTGTGTGTGTGTGTACTAACATAATTGTGGTTGCAGGTGCCAAGTTATAGCTCCTGGCCCCGCCTCTTCACTGGTCGCTACTGGGTCACTCACTCCCTGCTCTGTGAGCTTTATCATATCTCATCTTAAAGCTATGTATGCATCTTGTCTCCACCTCCTCACTTAACAGATTATTCCACTGTCTGACAACTCCGTGACTGAAGAAATACTTCCTAACACATCTGTGACTCATCTGTGTCTTCAACTTCCAATTGTGACCCCTTGTTGCTGTGTCCCATTCTGGAACATCTTATCTTTGTCCATCTTGTCGATTCCTCTCAGTATTTCATATGTTGTTATCATGTCCTCCCCTGTCCCTCCAATCCCCCAGTATCGTAAGGTCAATTTCCTTTAGCATCTCCTCGTAGGATATGCCCCTTAGCTCCAGGACTAGTCTCGTTGCAAACCTTTGCACTTTCTCTAATTTCTTGATGTGCTTTCCCAGGTGTGGGTTCCAAACTGGTGCTGCATACCATAATACAGGCCTCACGTACACGGTGTACAGAGTCCTGAACGACTCCTTACTGAGATGTCGGAAAGCTATTCCTAGCTTTGCTAGTCGGCCATATACTGCAGAAGTTATTTGTTTGACGTGAGCCTCAGGAGATATGTTCGGTATTATACTCACCCTAAGATCCTTTTCCTTGAGTGAAGTTTGTAGTCTTTGGCTCCTAAGCTGTATTTTGTCTGCAGTTTTCTTTGACCTCTCCCGATCGGGGTTGAACTCTAGGAGCCAGTTGCTAGACTAGGCCTGCAGCCTGTCCAGATCTCTTTGTAGTCCTGCCTGGTCCTCCTCCGACTGCATTCTCCTCATTAACTTCACATCGTCTGCAAACAGGCACTTCTGAGTCTATCATGTGTGTGTGTGTGTGTGTGTGTGTGTACTCACCTAGTTGAGGTTGCGGGGGTCGAGTCCGAGCTCCTCTTCACTGATCGCTACTAGGTCACTCTGTGTGTGTGTGTGTGTACTCACCTAGTTGTACTCACCTAGTTGAGGTTGCAGGGGTCGAGTCCAAGCTCCTGGCCCCGCCTCTTCACTGGTCGCTACTAGGTCACTCTCCCTGAACCATGAGCTTTATCGTACCTCTGCTTAAAGCTATGTATGGATCCTGACTCCACTACATCGCTTCCCAAACTATTCCACTTCCTGACTACTCTGTGGCTGAAGAAATACTTCCTAACATCCCTTTGATTCATCTGTGTCTTCAACTTCCAACTGTGTCCCCTTGTTACTGTGTCCAGTCTCTGGAACATCCTGTCTTTGTCCACCTTGTCAATTCCTCTCAGTATTTTGTAAGTCGTTATCATGTCCCCCCTATCTCTCCTGTCCTCCAGTGTCGTCAGGTTGATTTCCCTTAACCTCTCCTCATAGGACATACCTCTTAGCTCTGGGACTAGTCTTGTTGCAAACCTTTGCACTTTCTCTAGTTTCTTTACATGCTTGGCTAGGTGTGGGTTCCAAACTGGTGCCGCATACTCCAATATGGGCCTAACGTACACGGTGTACAGGGTCCTGAACGATTCCTTATTAAGATGTCGGAATGCTGTTCTGAGGTTTGCCAGGCGCCCATATGCTGCAGCAGTTATTTGGTTGATGTGCGCTTCAGGAGATGTGCCTGGTGTTATACTCACCCCAAGATCTTTTTCCTTGAGTGATGTTTGTAGTCTCTGACCCCCTAGACTGTACTCCATCTGCGGTCTTCTTTGCCCTTCCCCAATCCTCATGACTTTGCACTTGGTGGGATTGAACTCCAGGAGCCAGTTGCTGGACCAGGTCTGCAGCCTGTCCAGATCCCTTTGTATTTCTGCCTGGTCTTCGATCGAATGAACTCTTCTCATCAACTTCACGTCATCTGCAAATAGTGACACCTCGGAGTTTATTCCTTCCGTCATGTCGTTCACAAATACCAGAAACAGCACTGGTCCTAGGACTGACCCCTGTGGGACCCCGCTGGTCACAGGTGCCCACTCTGACACCTCGCCTCGTACCATTACTCGCTGCTGTCTTCCTGACAAGTATTCCCTGATCCATTGCAGTGCCTTCCCTGTTATTCCTGCTTGGTCCTCCAGTTTTTGCACTAATCTCTTGTGTGGTACTGTGTCAAACGCCTTCTTGCAGTCTAAGAAAATGCAATCCACCCACCCTTCTCTCTCTTGTCTTATGCTGTCACCATGTCATAGAACTCCAGTAGGTTTGTGACACAGGATTTCCCGTCTCTGAAACCATGTTGTCTGCTGGTGATGAGATCATTCCTTTCTAGATGTTCCACCATTCTTCTCCTGACAATTTTTTCCATGATTTTGCATGCTATACATGTCAGTGACACTGGTCTGTAGTTTAGTGCTTCATGTCTGTCTCCTTTTTTAAAGATTGGTACCACATTTGCTGTCTTCCCATGCCTCAGGCAATCTCCCTGTTTCGATAGATGTATTGAATATTGTTGTTAGGGGTACACATAGCGCCTCTGCTCCCTCTCTCAGGACCCATGGAGAGATGTTATCTGGCCCCATTGCCTTTGAGGTATCTAGCTCACTCAGAAGCCTCTTCACTTCTTCCTCGGTTGTGTGTACTGTGTCCAGCACATGGTGGTGTACCCCACCTCTCCGTCTTTCTGGAGCCCCTTCTGTGTGTGTGTTGTGTGTGTGTGTGTGTGTGTGTGTGTGTGTGTGTACTCACTAGTTGAGGTTGCAGGGGTCGATTCCGAGCTCCGTGTGTGTGTGTGTGTTGTGTGTGTGTGTGTGTGTTTTGTGTATGTGTTTGTATGTGTTTTTTTGTGCGTGTTTAATTTCTACAGTGACTACACGTGTACGTATATGTACAAAATATGAAGTCACAAGGATAGTTAATTCCTACAAGATAATCAAGTACTGAAATAAGAAGTTGATAATATGATTTCTGAGTACTAAGCGAGTGTGAATCATACAATGTAAGAGAGGGGTCTCTAAACTGTGGCCCGCGGGCCACCTGCGGCCCGCCAAAAGATTTAATGCGGCCCGCAGCAACTTGAAATATTTATAATTAGTAAAAGTAACAAACTCTCATTTTCCGTCACTTAAAGTTAAGGATTTTGATGCTTATAATAATTTATATGACAAAATTTATTCAGCTTTCAATTCTAATATTTTCGTTTTTCAGATATACCCTTAAGTTATGGAAGGAAAAAGGAAAAGAACAGTGCAGAGTGAGGCCGCCTGTTTAGTGAAGAATGTGGTGTTAAGTATTTCTTTGTGCAAGCGGGTGATAAAGCCTTGTGTGTTGTATGCCACAAAACTGTTGCAAATAACAAAAAACAAGGAACAATACTGTGACTGGAACAATCCACAAATAACCTGCACATAGAAGAGAGGAACTTATGACGACGTTTTGGTCGACTTGGACCATTTACAAAATCCCACAACCATTCATTGCCCACTTCCCTTCTAGGCAAGATGCTACATATGACTGGGACCCCTCCCTTAGACTTAAATATATAGCTGACCTGTACTTTGTAAATGGTCCAAGTCGGACCGAAACGTCGTCGTAAACTCCTCTCTTCTATGTGTGGGTTATTTGTGTAAACTGTTGCGGTTTTGAAGTACAATGTACGTCGGCACTGAGACCAAACATAAACCAAGTTATTCCCAGTTCACAGGAACACAATGTTCGGAAAAATATGAATCAGTGCAACACAGGTTGGTTCCCCAACAAGTTGTTTTTAACGCAGAAGACAGCTAAAAATGAAGCTTTAACCAGTGCCAGTTACAAAGTAGCTAATGTGTTAGTTAATGGAAAAAATTTATTCACCGATGGAGATCTGATCAAAGAGTGCATGATGGAAGCTGTGGCAGAGTTATGCCTAGAAAAAGCAAATCTGTTCAGAATCTTCAGTCTTGTGCTCAGTACTGTTGCTAGTAGAGCTGAAGATGTAGGAAGCAATATATTTCATCTAATTGCAGACAAAGAATGAAATTTTCATTTTTATTTTCTCTAACTTGATGAATCGAATGATGAGACGCATCACAACTCCTGCTATTCATCCGTGGCGTCGGCAATGAATTTGATGTCACAGCACAGCACAGGAACCGGAGAAGACATCTCCAAAAAATTGCAAAAACCTGTACTTGAATATAACCTGGAGAGGAATAAACTGCAATGCGTGACAGTTGATGGAGGAAAGAACCTGACTGGGGTGAAGAAACGTTTGGTTGGTGGACAAATCACAAAAGCTTGTGAGGATGGTGGATTCTCGAAGCCCACGTTTCTGCACTGTGTTATCCATCAGCAAACATTGTGCGGAAAATAAGTGACTATGTCTTGCGTTCTGTTGTCTCGACAATGGATTTCATTCGATCTCACGGTCTTAATCGTCGCCAGTTTCGGGATTTTTTGAGAGAAACTGATTCCGAGTTTATAGACTTGCTTTATTATACAGCAGTTCGATGGCTCAGTTGTGGAAAGGTTTTATCACGGTACTTTCAGCTCAGAAAAGAAATTGATTCATTTCTCACAGGAAAGAATCGACCAGAACCACTTTTATCAAACGCTGACTGGTTTTCGAAATTGGAATTCTTTTGCAGACGTGACAAGCCGTATGAATTAATTGAATCTGAAGTTACAAGGTGAAACAAATTTGATTTGTGATCCATTCACGCATGTCAAGGGATTCGAGGCAAAAATTGTGCTATTTGAAGGACTGGAGAAGGTTTTTATCTTGGTTCGTTTCCAATGTTATAGAAAATTTCATGAAAAAAGTGAACCACGATTTTCTTTTTCATTTGAAGCAGAAATAATTAATGATTTGCAAATAAATTCCTAAAATCATCACCCCCCCCCCCGCCCTGTCTCTGACTATTCGTCCTGGTTAATATAAGAAGCAACGAGTCGACAGATGGTTGATAAAGTCGCACGAACAATGTAAGTCTTGATTATATGAACAATGTTTCGCTGTAGTAGAGCTTTATCATCCGGCCTGGTTGACAGCCACTCAGGTGTTGGTGCTCGCTGCTTGCAGGCCAACATAAGTACAAGAGTGTGTGTACAAGAGACCCATTAATCAAAAACTGCCCAAAGTAGCATTTCACGTTCTCTCTTGACAGTTTCTGGTTTAATAGAAATATTCATATCAGTGAAAGAAGACATTGAAAATACCTGAACCTTTTATAGTTACTGAGTTAACAGTGTATTTGTTGTACCCCTATTTTTGTGTGTGTTTTATAAGGACTAATTTCGACGCCCAGATTTGGAACAATCCTTCCAGTATTTTTCAGAAGCAAATTACCGAAAAGCGTTCTTGCCGGTGCTCCAGGGTGTACACTTTATTTAAATTGTACACCCTGGTTCAATTTATTTAAGTTGTACACCCAATAATTTAACCTTTAACTGAAAAGAGAAATGGAGTGAGACACTGCCTCTCTGAGAGTCTCTAGGATCGTAAGAGACGTATACACTTTAATAACACTAATAACGGTATTTTCTGTTATGTTAGAGACCAGAGTCATGCCATACATGAACTTGGTATATTACAAAACTTTTCTAACCTTCACAGATGCCGTCTTATAGATTCAGCCTTCATACATTTCATTTTTAAGATGATTCTTATTTCCGTTTTGTTTTGATGCTTAACAATCCTGACTTTAGTTCTTTCACCAGACCTTGGATGTCTCTTCACCTGACTCACGAAATCGTAATCACACGATTGCAAACAAGCCATACCACTGGTGGGGTTAGAACCCGCGATTAGAAAGTCAAAAACCTCCAGACCGACGCGTTAGCCACTGGGTCAGCTAGCTAAAATAAGATTCATTCAGTTGGGAGTTTTATGATTCTTTGATCACGGGTTCTAACCCCACCCTTGGTATGGTTTTCCTTCACCTCTTTTGACCTGACTTTCATTGTCTCCATACGTATCTGACCTGACCTTGGCTGTCTCCTAACCTTTTCACTTAATCTGACGTGAATTTCTCGCCTTATCTCCCTCAGTTAAAATGAGATAGTGGATCGAGACATATTGGATCCAGTTACGGTAACTTATTCTTCCGTCCTGCAGTGTCGCGTTGGTTGGGCTGGTGACGGACAGACGTGTGGGCCGGACCGAGACCTGGACGGGTGGCCAGACTACGATCTTGGCTGCTTGGACCCTCATTGCCGCCAGGACAACTGCGTCAACACCCCTAACTCCGGCCAGGAGGATTCAGATAACGATAACATCGGCGACGCTTGTGATGACGATGCAGATAACGATGGCGTCCCCAACAGTCCAGTGAGTTGATTTTTTACATATGCTTCGTTTTACAGACCAAAAGCTTTTATCCCTCGTTAGGCGACTCACGACAGTTGACTAATATCCAGGTACCTATTTGCTGGAAGGTAAATAGGGGCAACGAGTGTAAGAAATTTAACCCAAACGTCTAAGAATCGGCCTTGGAACCTTTCATTTGTGAGTTTTTAAGATTAAAGACTTTATTAATTTATGAATCATAAGAAAATAAGAATATAAGAAAGGAGGAGCACAGCAGGAGACCTACTGGTCCATACTAGGCAAATCCTTCTCAAACCTAAAATCACTGATAAAAATATTTACCTAACTCATCGATGAGTAATGTTCTGATATGTAATTAATTGTTTAATAATTAACATTATTTGAAGGAAAAAAGTAATGAAATAAATTAAATTTGGATAAATGAACTTAAAATACTGCAATATTATTTCCACTTAGGGAAGGTTCTTAATGCCGGTAGTGGGCTCTTGATCCAAGGAATTGTTACTATAATCTCTCCTTATTCGGAGGTAATTCTAATATATAGCAACCTAAATGTGTCCAATTTAAACTTAAATTTAGGCTAAACTGGCTTAAAATTATACTTATCATGACTAAAATTTACATCTGCCTGGCACTAATTTACATCTGCCTGGCACTAATTTACATCTGCCTGGCACTAATTTACATCTGCCTGGCACTAATTTACATCTACCTGGCACTAAATTTACATCTACCTGGCACTAATTTACATCTGCCTGGCACTAAATTTACATCTACCTGGCACTAAATTTACATCTACCTGGCACTAAATTTACATCTACCTGGCACTAAATTTACATGTACCTGGCACTAAATTTACATCTACCTGGCACTAATTTACATCTGCCTGGCACTAAATTTACATCTACCTGGCACTAAATTTGCATGTACCTGGCACTAAATTTACATCTACCTGGCACTAATTTACATCTGCCTGGCACTAAATTTACATCTACCTGGCACTAAATTTGCATCTACCTGGCACTAAATTTACATCTGCCTGGCACTAAATTTACAACTACCTGGCACTAAATTTACATCTACCTGGCACTAAATTTACAACTACCTGGCACTAATTTACATCTGCCTGGCACTGAATTTACATCTACCTGGCACTAAATTTACATCTACCTGGCACTAAATTTACATCTGCCTGGCACTAAATTTACAAATACCTGGCACTAAATTTACAACTACCTGGCACTAAATTTACAACTACCTGGCACTAAATTTACATCTACCTAGCACTAAATTTACATCTACCTGGCACTAAATTTACATCTACCTGGCACTAAATTTACAACTACCTGGCACTAAATTTACAACTACCTGGCACTAAATTTACATCTACCTGGCACTAAATTTACAACTACCTGGCACTAAATTTACAACTACCTGGCACTAAATTTACATCTACCTGGCACTAAATTTACATCTACCTGGCACTAAATTTACATCTACCTGGCACTAAATTTACATCTGCCTGGCACTAAATTTACAACTACCTGGCACTAAATTTACATCTACCTGGCACTAAATTTACAACTACCTGGCACTAAATTTACAACTACCTGGCACTAAATTTACATCTACCTGGCACTAAATTTACATCTACCTGGCACTAAATTTACATCTACCTGGCACTAAATTTACAACTACCTGGCACTAAATTTACATCTACCTGGCACTAATTTACATCTACCTGGCACTAAATTTACATCTACCTGGCACTAATTTACATCTACTTGGCACTAATTTACATCTACCTGGCACTAATTTACATCTACCTGGCACTAATTTACATCTACCTGGCACTAATTTACATCTACTTGGCACTAATTTACATCTACCTGGCACTAATTTACAACTACCTGGCACTAATTTACATCTACCTGGCACTAATTTAGATCTACTTTTCACTAATTTACATCTACCTGGCACTAATTTACATCTACCTGGCACTAATTTACATCTACCTGGCACTAATTTACATCTACTTGGCACTAATTTACATCTACCTGGCACTAATTTACAACTACCTTTCACTAAATTTATCCCTAAATGTCCCTAAGTTTACACTTGATAAATTAGACACAAGTGATGCACATGTGTGTAATTTATCAACTTGTTGGTTCTCTGAACCATTTATCAACTTGTCGGTTCTCTGAACCATTTATCAACTTGTCGGTTCTCTGAACCATTTATCAACTTGTCGGTTCTCAGAACCATTTATCAACTTGTCGGTTCTCTGAACCATTTATCAACTTGTCGGTTCTCAGAACCATTTATCAACTTGCCGGTTCTCTGAACCATTTATCAACTTGTCGGTTCTCAGAACCATTTATCAACTTGTCGGTTCTCTGAACCATTTATCAACTTGTCGGTTCTCTGAACCATTTATCAACTTGTCGGTTCTCTGAACCATTTATCAACTTGTCGGTTCTCTGAACCATTTATCAACTTGTGGGTTCTCTGAACCATTTATCAACTTGTCGGTTCTCTGAACCATTTATCAACTTGTCGGTTCTCTGAACCATTTATCAACTTGTCGGTTCTCTGAACCATTTATCAACTTGTCGGTTCTCTGAACCATTTATCAACTTGTCGGTTCTCTGAACCATTCATTTACAAGTTTACACTTATCTAGTAAATTTATATCTGCTTAATCTCTTAAATTTACGTTTATAGTGTTCAAAATTTACACCTACATGTCTCTAAATTTACACCTACATGTCTCTAAATTTACACCTACATGTCTCTAAATTTACACCTACATGTCTCTAAATTTACACTTACATGTCTCTAAATTTACACCTACATGTCTCTAAATTTACACCTACATGTCTCTAAATTTACACCTACATGTCTCTAAATTTACACCTACATGTCTCTAAATTTACACCTACATGTCTCTAAATTTACACTTACATGTCTCTAAATTTACACCTACATGTCTCTAAATTTACACCTACATGTCTCAAAATTTACACCTACATGTCTCAAAATTTACACCTACATGTCTCTAAATTTACACCTACATGTCTCTAAATTTACACCTACATGTCTCTAAATTTACACCTACATGTCTCTAAATTTACACCTATTTCTAAATGTATACCCACCTTTACGTTAGTTTACAAGTATCTATTTCTAAATTTAGTGAAGCTGGCTATAAATGTACCTCCTTCCTGACCAAATATAAATAAATAACAAAAAGGCACAATACCGTGACTGGAACGATACACAAATAACCCGCACATAAAAAACAGAAGCTTACGACGACGTTTCGGTCCGACTTGGACCATTGACAAAGTCACACTGTGACTTTGTCAATGGTCCAAGTCGGACCGAAACGTCGTCGTAAGCTTCTGTCTTTTATGTGCGGGTTATTTGTGTGACCAAATATACACTCACCCACTTTTTGTCTTTCCAGTCACTCTACTACTCCCACTCCAGCACGTCACTTTCCAGCCACTCTACTACTCCACTCCAGCACGTCACTTTCCAGCCACTCTACTACTCCCACTCCAGCACGTCACTTTCCAGCCACTCTACTACTCCCACTCCAGCACGTCACTTTCCAGCCACTCTACTACTCCCACTCCAGCACGTCACTTTCCAGCCACTCTACTACTCCCACTCCAGCACGTCACTTTCCAGCCACTCTACTACTCCCACTCCAGCACGTCACTTTCCAGCCACTCTGCTACTCCCACTCCAGCACGTCACTTTCCAGCCACTCTAATACTCCCACTCCAGCACGTCACTTTCCAGCCACTCTACTACTCCCACTCCAGCACGTCACTTTCCAGCCACTCTACTACTCCCACTCCAGCACGTCACTTCCAGCCACTCTACTACTCCCACTCCAGCACGTCACTTTCCAGCCACTCTACTACTCCCACTCCAGCACGTCACTTTCCAGCCACTCTACTACTCCCACTCCAGCACGTCACTTTCCAGCCACTCTGCTACTCCCACTCCAGCACGTCACTTCTCCAGCCACTCTACTACTCCCACTCCAGCACGTCACTTCCAGCCACTCTACTACTCCCACTCCAGCACGTCACTTTCCAGCCACTCTACTAACTCCCACTCCAGCACGTCACTTTCCAGCCACTCTACTACTCCCACTCCAGCATGTCACTTTCCAGCCACTCTACTACTCCCACTCCAGCATGTCACTTTCCAGCCACTCTACTACTCCCACTCCAGCATGTCACTTTCCAGCCACTCTACTACTCCCACTCCAGCATGTCACTTTCCAGCCACTCTACTACTCCCACTCCAGCACTCACTTTCCAGCCACTCTACTACTCCCACTCCAGCACGTCACTTTCCACCACTCTACTACTCCCACTCCAGCACGTCACTTTCCAGCCACTCTACTACCCCACTCCAGCACGTCACTTTCCAGCCACTCTACTACTCCCACTCCAGCACGTCACTTTCCAGCCACTCTACTACTCCCACTCCAGCACTCACTTTCCAGCCACTCTGCTACTCCCACTCCAGCACGTCACTTTCCAGCCACTCTACTACTCCCACTCCAGCACGTCACTTTCCAGCCACTCTACTACTCCCACTCCACACGTCACTTTCCCAGCCACTCATACTACCCACTCCAGCACGTCACTTTCCAGCCACTCTACTACTCCCACTCCAGCACTCACTTTCCAGCCACTCTACACTCCCACTCCAGCACGTCACTTTCCAGCCACTCTAACTACTCCCACTCCAGCACGTCACTTTCCAGCCACTCTACTACTCCCACTCCAGCACGTCACTTTCCAGCCACTCTGCTACTCCCACTCCAGCACGTCACTTTCCAGCCACTCTACTACTCCCACTCCAGCACGTCACTTTCCAGCCACTCTACTACTCCCACTCCAGCACGTCACTTTCCAGCCACTCTACTACTCCCACTCCAGCACGTCACTTTCCAGCCACTCTACTACTCC